CCCCCCCCCCCCCCCCCTCTCTCTCTCTCTCTCTCTCTCTCTCTCTCCAAAGCACTTGACCTTTGTGTGTTCACTAATGACCAAGTCCGAACTCGCACAGCACCGTTTATTTATCCACTTGTTCTCTGTTGAGCTACACGCCTGGAACCAAAGACTGACACGTCACAGCAGATAGTAGATGTATAGATCTAGAGACAAAGTCTATGACAGAGATGAGATTGAGAGAACAGATAAGACGGCTAGGCTAAAAGGCAGGAAAGGAAGCACAATAAATTTTAATTCCTACCTTCGCAGGTTCGAGCAGGTCTGAAGTAAGCCTCTAATCCGTATACACAACAGACTCGTGCACTCAGTCACACAAATAGACTTGCCTCAGCGAATAAGACTAACAAAATCGATTCAGCTGGAGATGCGGTCTAAACTTCGATCAATTCTCTCGCGCACGCATTCAACTGCTTATTTCACCACGGACCACAGCTCGCTGTTTGGTGGTGGTGTGAGAATCCAGTCAGTATTGCCAAGGTCTGGGTCGAGCAACCAAATTATTTTAACACAACAGCAGACTCAAGCAGTCAATGCTCCGCAGGCTAGGCTATGCTGCTATGAACTAAAATGTTTCTTCTTCTTTCCCCTGTGGCTCTGTTTACTGTTTATTAGACTCTACAACTACAAGCGAGTGCAAGTCGAGGTCACGAGCCCAGCAAACAGCACAGGAGGCCTTGCTTTCTTGCTTGACGTAGGCTAGGCGAGAATCTGCCTGCTGCCTGCAGCGTGCGTGCGTGCGCGCGTGTGTGAAAGTCTTCACTAGCAGTTAGTGAGCGAGCGAGCACTGAGCAGGCCAGGCCAGGCCAGGGGAGGGGAGGGGAGAGCCAAGGGGTGAGCGGAGCTAGCCGAGCGTTCAGTCCACGAGTCCGCAATGATGCGCCACGCCACGCCACGCCACGCGCGTGAGAGGGAAGCGTGTGGAGGTGGAGGCCAAGTTGAGTAAAGGAATAAACTGTTCTAACTAACGCGTTACTTATCATGTTCGCGAGTTGATCTAATTCCATCGCGTGAGGTCAATTAATTACTTGTTGTTCCACGCGTGGATGGGGTGATAATATAATTGGACGTTCTAGGAAGTTTAGGAAGATGATTTACCACCACCACCAACAACAACATCAATAACAACAACAACAACTACAACAACAGTAGCAGCAGCAGGAGTAGCGGCGACAGCAGTATTGACAATGATCAATGATAATGACAGTTAAAATAATTACTTTGAATATAAATGCTATGGTAATGACTATCAGTAATAATACATTATAAATGAATATTGATATTGATACAATATATTGATTAACGATCTTCGATATATTTTTTCTTTCATTATTACTTCTTTATGTATTATTATCATCATCTTTTATCTTTAAAAAAATAGTACTAGATCTAATAATAATTTATTATTATTATCACTGTAATTGGGTGTTTATACATCTACTCTGTGTCTATTTAGACCATTTCGGAGGTGGGATCATGATCATTATCATGATCATCATTTGAAGAAGAAGAAGAAGAAGAAGAAGAAGAAGAAGAAGAAGAAGAAGAAGAAGAAGAAGAAGAAGAAGAAGAAGAAGAAGTTAATGTCTAAGTTGGCCTACCGAAGCAGCTCATTATGAATACCGTACTTTATGTATACAAAGTTTGGGTATATAGTAATTTTATTCATGACCCGAGTACCACATTACTGGTTCGTCACTGAAAGTAGCTGTTGAAGAGTTCCGTTTCTCCATGCCGCTCCTACTTTTTTCCCCCCAGTTCCCAGTGCTCACTCAGCACTCGGACTCGGCACAGCTGACTGGAAAAGTGCTCATATTTTCATTCTTCCTTAAGTATGGTAAATCATATTTTCATTGATTGCATCTTTTTGTGGGCATAACAATGATGAGACAGGACATAATATATAATATACAAACAAACACATTCACGTATTCCTACAAGTATCAGCAGCAATATAAAGGTTACGATATAAGTACTATAAAAAGCAATGAATCAAAGGAAGAGTGACAAACAAGAGACGCCTTGTACTAAAAATCAGGAGAAAAACATTACCAATCGGTGATTTTTTTTACTACAATGACAAAACCAAGTACCATCATTTTTCGGGGGGGGG